TGATACCAATGAACCATCCTGTGTAAGGCCATTGAGGACAAGTCAACCAGAAAATATAGAGTACAGTGGTGTGTTAAAGGTTTACAGCCTGTTGTAAATCTTAATGCTCCATGATAGACAGAATCCAACAGATGAAGAGAGTGAGCAGAGGCATTCATGTAAATTATGTCACTGTAATCCAGGAGGGGTAGAGAGGTGGCAGCAACAAGACTTTTCCTCGTGGTGAAAGAGAGACATAATCCGTTTCTGAAAAAGAGTTTCTAAGTTAGTTTCTTTAATACTGGGTCAATGTGTGGCTTAAAGGAAAGATTTTCTTCAATCACAATACCTAAGTATCTCTATGAGGCCACAGGGAAGCAGTTACAGTACTGTGCAGTTTCCTAAAACCAAATTGGAAAAGAGATAAAATGCTATTTTCATCCAGATAACTTTTAAACTATATGCTCATGTAAAGCTGTAAACCTGAGGAGCACGAGCCAAACAATTGCATTATGGATAAATGTGGATACACTGTTTATCCGTACATGACAATAAAATGTGAAATCTGAAACTTGAAAACTTGAAATTAATCATTAAAAAGTTTGTCATGAACCTTAGCTGAGATACAGAGTTTGGAAACTGGCCTGTGATCATTAACCATTGAAGAACCACCTTTCAGTAGGGGGAGAACAAAGGCACGCTTCCACATCTCTGGTGTTCTGTTGAAAGATTAAAACTATAACACACTGGCTCAGTAATCAGATTCATGTGAGCTTTTAGTGAACATGAGAAAAGATGGACTCTGAATTCCATGAATTACACAAAATGAAATGAAAAGTCTTACATATCAAAAATAACAAAATAACATGAACACCAGCACATAAGACTTTAATATTACCGTTATTATGTCAGTTTGTACACATGAAATGAGCAAGAAAGCAAGCAAGTGACTGAACTTTTGCACAGAGAGTAACTGAGCAGAAACCAAAACTCTGAATAAACCAGTATTACCAGTCAAACATATTTTTACTATCAAGATGTTTCTGCTGTTGTCCTCCAAGTTCTTCCCTTTCACTTTTCATGGAAAGTTCAGTGAATTATGACTAACCACATATGTATGACCTGTTTGATTGATAGACTCCTTTTTGACACAGTACACTGGGTGATGAATGCCGACATGAGCTAATTGTCCTCCTGCTAATGGAGACCACTTTGCACAAACTACACTGTGAGAAGTATTACCTCTCACTGTCCTTATCTTCTCTATACGTATACATTCCCAAACTGGGTGGAGAAACACAATAAATCATATTACTTACATATTTACAGCCTCTGCTTTGCTTTAACATTAGTGTGTGGTCAGTGTGGGATCATGCAGTAATATTTCATGCCACAGATGAAGCTTTCTTCTGGAGAAATGTAGCATCCATAAAATCAATAAGTCATTATTGAGACAAAAACAATCACTCCATGATTATCCACAATGTGTCTGATAACTCTACAATACAAACTACCATGCTTCTGTCTCCCAATAAAACACAAGCTTTGTTTTCTTTTTTCAAGAAATTGTTAACAAGGAAAGACTTTACAACCTGTAGTTTAGTCATTAGGTTGTCAAAACTGCTGTAAGGTGAGACTTTCTTTCTCACAGCTCCTGAAGTCACATCTGCCCAGTCCTCCTATTCTCTCTTCACTAAAAGTTGTTGCAAAGAAGGTATTTTCAGTTATATAGCTAACTTAAACTTTATATTCCCCAGCACTGCATCCTCCAAGGAACAGATGCTGTGTTGTATTTGGGAAGATTTAACGATAGGAAATGTCGTCACACTGTCTTGACGTTCTGATGACAAAGGCAAAAAAACCGTGCTCTGCATAAGCAGGGTCTCTCACATACCCTGGGGCAGATGAGGTTTGCCCTGAGTTCTTGAAGGCTCTGGATGTTGTAGGGCTGTCTTGGTTGACACACCCATGTTCAAGAAGGGGGACTGGAGGATGTGCTTTAACTATATGGGGTGCTTGGTCTAGCTGTCAACAAGTTGGACTCGTTTCCGCTGGGTTTTGGACTCGGCCAGGCCTGCCCTTTGTCATCGATTCTGTTCAAATCATCTCATCTCATCTTAGCTTTTTTGCATATGATGTGGTTCTGTCGGCTTCACCAGGCCGTCACCTGATGTGTGAAAGGCGCTCGCCTTCGTTTTTATTGATAAAGTGTTTTACAAATAAACCCAAAGATTACAGTTAACAGCTGGATTTCCGGTTTGAGTGCAGCTAGCCAAACAGGAAATAGCCACTTACTGTTAAAGAGACTGATAGTGGACAGCATTACCTTGGTTTCTTAAGCCTTGGCAGCACAAAAGTGATCCCCTTAAACAGATTTTTTTAGCTTTAGTGTCCTTATGTTCCTCTGAGTTATCGATTCTGACACTTGTTAGCTAAAATAAATGTTATTCTATTAGCCCCAACCAACCACATGACATCATAGTCCATACTGACAGAAGTATGTTTTAAATCTTTAACTTTAAGCACTTATTTCTTAAATCCAACTTCACAGACAGAGTCACATCTAGGTCAGTATTTGAGAGCAGAGCTCTGTGATGTAAATTAGCCTGTATGTGTTAAGCGTTTCATGTACCCTTTAATAACAGTCCACATTATTATCAACAGCTACATTCACCCTGGGGGGAAAACTTGTGAAGGAGACCATCAGGACCAAGCTGGGTTTCCTGGGTTCAGATGTTATTTTATTTCAATTTCTTTCATTGCAGCTGTCCTGTTCCAGATGTTCTGTTGACACACTGACAGAGAGACATCATTTCAGAAACATCAGGACGAGTAAAGGTCGTAACAGGGATCAAGCAGGACTCATAGTCTTCTTCAGACCTCCACTGTAGGATGAGAAGACAGGAAAAGATGGACAAACCTAGCACTTCATTAACAGTGTGATACGGATATTCAGAGAGTTCTCAGAGGCTGTGGACTGTTACACAATGATAATAGTGCTGTAGAAAGTTGTGTATTTAAAAATGTATTATCCTTTCTGGTTGCTCTGATATGAATGACTCTGAATTACTTTGTGGTAAATTACACACCATTGGAAAAACACAGTGTGAAAGAATTCCAGATTAAAGTTTTTAGTTCAGCCATCAAGTGACGACCTTTGACCTTCCATTAGGCTTTTTTTTAATGCTGTCAGAGAAAATCTCATCTTCATGCAGCTGACTACATTCAGTGTTAAAAACAGACGCTCTGCAGGTCTGAGATGAACAACTTTCTGAAACACCAAACAAAGGTACTGTTTATGTTCCTGTATAGTGACTCAGTTACATGGATGATTAATTCCTTTGATGTTTTCTCTTTAACTTTATCAATAAAACAGCTGCACATCATGTGGAATTTTTTTTCTTTCCCTTTCTAATGTTTTTATCAGTTAATTTTGGAGTTACCACAATAAGTGAACATATAGGATGATTTGTCTCTTTGAGCCACTCTTTGAGCGTTCGTGGCTCAAAGAGTTGGCAGTTCGTCTTGTAACTGGAAGGTTGCTGGTTCAAGCCCCGGCTCGGACAGTCTCGGTCGTTGTGTCCTTGGGCAAGACACTTCACCTACCGCCTACTGGTGATGGCCAGAGGGGCCGATGGCGCAATATGGCAGGCTCGCTTCTGCCCCAGGGCAGCT